CCGGGTAAGCTATTCTATGACTCATTCAACGAAGGACGACCTAGAGCCTGCCTGATGATAGCTAATGATATCAACGCCTTTCTCATTCCAGAATTGACCAATAAGGACCAGATTGCACTGAAGGTGAGCCTGTCTCTCGGAGAAAACACGCAAGAGCTAATCATTTGCTCAGCGTACCTCCCCGGCGACTCCAGAGATTGCGAGTTTCTGCCACTACAGGGACTGGTGGACTATTGTGGCAGACAGAAACTGCAACTCATCGTGGGATGTGACGCTAACGCCCACAATACGATATGGGGCAGAGGTAACATAAATCAAAGAGGTGAGTACTTACTTGAATTTATTAGCCTTAATAGGTTAGAACTTTTAAACGTAGCTAACTCCCCCACTTTCAGGAACAGTATACGGGAAGAGGTTCTAGATCTCACTCTATCCACTCCTTTTATCAGTAATCAAAAAATGGAAAGTGGCCAGAGAAATTTCTTTATCAGATCACATGCACATCCGTTTTGAAATTGAAATCACATTACCAACTGCTACCACCTACAGAAGACCAAGATCCACAGATTGGAATTTATACGATGCTCTTCTGCAGGACGGTCTGAAAAGGTGCAAGCGAAAGGTAAATGACTTAGTCGATCTTGAACTTAGCTGCTCAGATCTGACATCAGCCATTGTGAATTCCTACCATGAATCCTGTCCAGAAGTCACTAGGATTAACAACAGACAGACTCCATGGTGGAATAACAAACTGGCCAAACTTAGGGCAAATACTCGGAAGCTCTTTAACAGAGCTAAAAGAACTGGTGAATGGGAAACGTATAAAGTTGCCCTCACCGAGTACAATAAAGAGATTAGATGGGCTAAGAGGAATTCATGGACTCTTTTCTGTACAGGGATCAAGGACCTTACGGGAAGCGCAGAGTCATCGCGAAGACGCACACTAATGAGTTAGGGCTCCTTAAAAGACCCGATTGATCCTTCACGAACAGCTGCATGGAATCCCTTAACTTGCTAGCCGAGGTGCATTTTCCTGACTGTTTGCCACTGAACACAAACAGTAAAATCCACACGCAGACTGGGATAAAATGCCCACGCGCAGAGGATTGGAGAATCGCCAAAGGTCTGTTCGACGAGGATAGAATAAGATGGGCTATATCCGCCTCAGCGCCTTTTAAATCACCTTGAGCAGATGGCATTTTCCCAGCTCATCACCAAAATGGACTGCCCCGCCTACTAGCCTTCCTGATACAAATTTTCACAGCATGTTTCGCGTGGGGGTCCCTTCCACTACAATGGCAGGAAGTGACGGTCCGCTACATCCCAAAGGTGGGGGGAAAACCAGCAGACCAACCAAAGTCATACCGACCCATTAGTCTTACGTCCTTCCTTTTAAAAACAATGGAAAGAATCGTAGACAGGCATATCAGGGATAGTTTCCTTGCCAGGAACCCTTTGTACAGACACCAATATGCCTATCTTCCAGGAAGATCTACCATCCACGCTCTTAAGAATCTAACAAGGAAAATTGAAAAAGTCCCTGGAGGACAGAGGTGGCGGTGGGTTCTTTCTTGGATGTGGAGGGCGCATTCGACAACACAGAACACTATCTAATAGACAAATGCGTCCGGCGCAGAGGGGTTGATCAAACCACATGTCGCTGGATAGCTAATGTCCTTAAATCCAGAATTATTACATCCACGCTAGGACAGGAAAGGGTCGTTTCCTTAGCTACAAAAGGTTGCCCGCAGGGGGGAGTGATCTCCCCTCTGCTATGGTCCATCGTAGTGGATGAACTACTCTGCCTTCTTAGCGAAAAAGGCTTCGACGTTCAGGGCTATGCGGATGACATTGCCATCCTAATCAGGGGTAGGTTCGAAGATACCATCTCTAACCTCCTACAGAATGCTCTGAACATAGTCACCAATTGGTGTAGTAAAAATGGGTAAAACGTTAACCCAAAGAAGACTAGCATAATCATTTTCTCCAGGAAAAGGAAAAGGGACAAATTAGTAGAACCATTCCTTCGAGGTGAAAAGATGCACTTCTCTAAAAAAGTCAAATATCTAGGAGTCATCCTTGATGACAAGCTCTCATGGAATCCACATCTAGATAAAAGTATTTAAAAGACCAGGGCCTCTATCCGGACCTGCCGAAAACTTATGGGACGGAACTGGGGCATCAGACCTAAACTGGCGAGGTAGATGTATGATGCCATCTCCAAACCCATTCTTACCTATGGTGCACCCGTCTGGTGGAAGAAGGTGGAAGTGCAGTCCACGCAGGCCAAGCTCAGCAAACTACAGAGACTGGCCTGCGTGGGCATCACTGGCGCGATGAGAACAACACCAAGTGATTCTTGACCTGCCTCCCCTACACATAGTAATCAAGAAAGAGGCTCTGCTGTTTACAGCAAGGCTCATCTCAGGGGACAGTGTAGAGGACAAGAAGTATGTACACCCTTCCACTCTCAGGGTTATAGAACAAGAAGATGGATTGCGCATAAGTTTTGTGGACCTGTGCCTACCGAGGTTTAACTTCTCACATAACTTCAAGGTCTTTTTCCCTGACAGGAATAACTGGGACAATGAACGACCTAAACCCCGGAAGGACAGCCACATCTGGTATACTGACGGCTCAAAGACTGACCACGGCGTCGGAGCAGGGTCTACGGTATACAACCCAGACTGCTCCTTTTCACCAGCATGGGGCAGGGTAACTCTGTCTTTCAGTCCGAGGTTCACGCCATTGAACTTTGTCTGAGGCAGTATGTAGAAAGAGGGGCAACCAAAAAACACATCTATATACACTCGGACAGCAGAGCGGCGCTCCTCGCTCTGAAAGCACACGAAGTCACCTCAAAGCTGGTGTGGGATTGTCTTCAACTTTTAATACTGATCGGCTCAAGGTACCGGGTATACCTCATATGGGTACCGGGACATAGTGGAGTCATGGGCAATGAAGTGGCAGATATTCTCGCCAGAAAAGGGGCTGCAGAGGGATTCATAGGCCCAGGACCCTTTACCGGTCTGCCATGGAGCTCCGTTAGACGGAACTACTATATCTGGATGAAGAACAAAGCACAAAATTACTGGACCAATACGGAAGGTAACAGACAGGCCAAGTCCTTCATTCCGGTTATATCAACAAGGAGAACCGAAGAACTCCTTCACCTCAGTAGGCATGAAGTAAGAATTGTTACAGGCTTTCTTACTGGCCACTGTAGGGTAATGAAACACTTGTCAAATATAGGAGTTGTCAACTCTGACCAGTGCAGGTTGTGTAACGAAGAACAGAAAACAGCAGAGCACATTATGTGCCACTGTGAAGCCCTTACCAGGAACAGACTTCGCTTCCTAGGATCACCGTACCTAGAAGCACATGACCTAAATGGCATTCAGCCAAAGGACCTCGCGAGGTTTCTTAACAGTACGGGGATCAAAGATGACCTGTGTTGAATAGAGGTTTGTTACAATAGATCGTTTCGGTCGCGGTAACTAGGTGACCTGCCCCCTCCTCTAAATCTAATCTAATCTAATCTAATCTAATTATAATTATATAGTATATATTATTATAAAGACCCACTTACCGGCATGTATTTCGACCCATTGAATCCGAATCTGTGGTGCATTTGACTTGTACACTTCCTAAATTTCGAGTTATTTGCGAAAATTGTAAATAAATGGCAAAAAATTAAAAATTTACTAGAGATTTTGAGGGTGTATGAGTCAAACGGACCTAGGATTTAGATTCAGCGGGTCGAAATACACGTGGGTAGGTGGAATGTATAATTGGAAAGCCCTCTTTCCACATCCTCTTCGATCTAGCAAGCGTTTTGTTGCCTTTTTCAATTTTAATATAACAAAGTGCAAGTTTTAGGTTACTAGGACTTACCACTGATGTGCAACACCTTCAACCAAAAAATTTGGCAAAAATCATACTTGCAGTTTATTGTTCAAAAATTGAATGGGCTAAAAAACTACATACTCAACTTCTAAAGAGTGGAAATAAAAAGTGCAATATTTGGATGAAAAGTTGCAGAGTTTTCTTACATTTTGCACAAGGTTTGGAACTCAGATTTTTGGGGTTTTTGTTGTAGAATTAACCATATTTTTATAAAAAATTAGCGAAAAATAAAATATTTAAAAGATACTTAGTTGCCCGTATTGTACCTTACATTAATTGATTGACTGTATATCAATTCATTTCTCTGAATATGCAAACGAAATTTGAAATAAAATAGTGAATTCGTGTTATACACTATTCTATTTCTTTAAATTTTATCAGTTCATTGAATCCTTCCAACAAACTAAATGGTATATAAGTACGGTGACCATTCGTACCAATTTCGGCGGGACAATACCGATTTTGAAAAAAATTTTCCTGCTGAATATTTTTTAAAAGTCGGGAGGTATAAGTGTCCAGATTTTTCATATTTGTACCGATTAAGTCCCGATCTTTCAGTGTTTTCTTTATTAATTTAACACTCAAACAATTTTTCGTACAAACGTGGCAGCACTTTCGTTGTCACAAGCGACATAGAATATAGGGAGCTATAAACATAGCCAGAATCCTTATTTTCTGTGATCTTTTGTAATATTTTATTCTGTAAAACAGCCGCTATATCGCAGTCTGTCATTCTTGTCACAGTTTTTTAAGGTTTTTGAATTGTTTTGTTAAGTCTTTTTAATGAAACAATTCTACCTTGATTTTAGTGAAATTATAAAAAATAATACTAATTCCCTTAAAAAATCATGGATATGAAAAATAGAAGCTGTAGATACAATAGCGAAAATATAAATAGTGAAGAGACATTTTAGAATTCTTTGCCTAATCCCCTTTCGATTTTTTTTTTTGAACAAAATTTGTCTGAAAGAAAACTTACCTGTTGGTTGGTTGGTTGCAGTGCTTCTTAGTCGCTGCCTGGGATACAATTAGCGCATTATTGCGCCATTTTGATGCACTTCTCGCGGGGGATAAATATCTTGTCTATGCACTTCCTATGTTGCTAGGTCGAACCATTTCGACTCTTTAATGAATCTGCCGATTTCGCTAATGGTAGCTCCTGATAGGTCGGTTAGTTCTGCTACTAGATGTTTCCCTAACGTCTTGTGTCTATTGTTCGAAAGACCTGGACATTCACACAGGAAATGCTGGACACTTTCTTCGCTATCTTCTAGTTGACAGCTGCGGCAAATCATATTATGGGGTAGACCTATTTTTGCCGCATGTTTGCCTATGGGCCAGTGGCCCGTGATGGTTGCTGAAATTCTAAATACCTCTGGCCTTGATCTGCTAAGCAGGTCCAAGGTTTTCGCCCTGTTATAGTCAGGCCATAGTTTTCTCGCTATCTTGCAAGTCTGTATATCTGACCACCTGCGTCTAGCCAGTTCAAGGAAATGCGTAGTAATCTCTCTTTGGACTACTCCAAGAGGGCAACCCAGTGCCACTGCCTGGGATTCATCCAAACCGGCTCCTGCCTTCGCCAACTCATCCGCCTTCTCATTGCCTTCTATGTTCCTATGTCCGGGAACCCAGACAAGAGAGTCGGTATTTGACTGAGACACTGAGCGCAATATTACTTTGCATTCCCCAGCTAGCTTGGATTTGGTAACCGGTGAGGCTATTGCCAATAGCGCCGCCTGGCTGTCAAAGTATATTGTTGCTTTACCGCTGTGTCCAACTCTATTGCCTAGGATTTTGCAGGCTTCTAGGATCCCTAGGACTTCCGCTTGGAAGATGCTTGTATTATTTCCCAACCGTAGAGACAGAGCCACGCCGAGTTCCTTGGAGTAGACACCTGCTCCCACACCGCAATCCATCTTGGATCCATCGGTGTATAGAGAGATCTTCTCTCGGTCGGCCACTCGGTCTCTTCTCCAGTCCCTTCTGGATGGGAATAGCACTTGCACGTTACAGCTGAAGTCCAAATTGCCTACCATATAATCTGTCGTCCTATTTAATTGCATTTGATTTATGATCAACCCATGTCCGAAGTGTCTAGTCCTCCAAAGGCCCGACTCTCTGAGTCTGACCGCCGATTTCATAGCCACTTCTTTCAGGTGGAGATCAATAGGAATTAAATTGAGGATGGCGTTTAAAGCTTCTGCCGGGCAGGATCTTAGTGCGCCTGTTACTCCTGCGCTTGCTGCCCTTTGTATGCTTCTTAGCTTGCTGACATTATATTGTCTGCTTAGGCCGGGCCACCAAACTAAGGCGCCGTATGTTAGAATTGGTCTTATGATCGCGGTATACATCCACATCACAAGTTTAGGATTTAGTCCCCAGTTTCTACTGAAGATTCTCTTGCAAGTGTAGTATGCTATGTAGGCCTTCTGTCTACGGAATTCGACATTGGTTTTCCAGTTAAGTTTGTTATCCAGCACGACTCCAAGATACTTTGCGCTGGGGGTCAATGAGAGCGCCTTGCCGTCTAGCGATGGTAGCTTGAATTGTGGTAGTTTGTGTCTGTTTGTAAAGAGGATAAGTTCTGTCTTGGCTGGGTTCACATTTAGGCCGCTTCTCGTAGCCCAGGCATGTAGCCTTCCCAGGGTTCCTTCAAGGATTTCGCTAACGGTAGAGAGGAATGGACCTGTGGCTGCTATTACAACATCATCCGCATACGCCACAACTTTGACTCCCCCTCTATTGAGTTCTAGCAATATACCGTTCAGGGCTATCACCCATAGCAGTGGTGAGAGCACTCCGCCCTGTGGAGTGCCCCTGTTCACATGATGTATAATAGAGCTAGCCCCATTTGTTGCCTGAATGATTCTATTGACTAGCATCGATCGTATCCATCTACAAACACTGTCGTCAACACCAATATCTATCAAAGAGTCTATGATGGTGTCAACCTCAATGTTATTAAATGCGCCCTCGATGTCAAGAAATGCCGCCAGAGTATATTGTTTAAAATGCAACGATCTTTCTATTAAGCTCACCACTTCATGTAAAGCAGATTCAGTGGATCTGTGGTAGATCTGCCACAATTGTGGTAAAGTGGCAGCACTGGTTCGGACACGCTGTTGTTATGCTGCTAGCAACGTTCACGCGATGCTTGTATGTATGTATGGTGGTGTATAAGTTAACGTAGCTAACATTCAAAACTCCAAAAATTCTTTCTCACGCTAATGCAGTGCACCTGCATTCCAATTCTTGCACGCGCATCCGCGAAATTGCTGACTACAAGTCTGGACACCCGACACCCTCAACCAAGGCCAAGGCATCGCACCTGTTAATTCAACGCGACAATGAAGATTCTTGAGGTATAGACTTAAGTGAAAACAAAAATTATAATCAGTCCTAATTTGAGTTTGAATAAACAACACGGCTTGCTGCCGTAAAAAATAAATTTTTTTAATAAACTTAACTTCGGTTAGTTTAACTGGCGCCCAACGGCCCAGTCGCGTTCGTCCTCGAAAAAGTTAAGGCCCTCAAGTAGTGCCACACGCTTCCTTAAATAAGGATACGGTAAACGTAGTGATTAAATAACAGTGCAAGCTTTGGAGCATACGGCCCTCAAGAAGTGTCAGGACTGCGACTGGAAGGACTCAGTGGAGAGCTTCGGTAGAAGACAGCCACGCACCCACGCAGAGTGCGCAACGGTGGACCCAAGTAGCGATGCAAAAAGGATTAACCCCGTACGCCGTGGGACTAGTGTCGTAAGATATTTAAATATAAGTTTAAGAAAAATATAACATAGAATTTAATTAAGTGAATCATTGGAAGTGAAATTAAAAATTAAAAGGTTGAATTTTCTAAGTAAAGAATTAGAAAGAATAAAATTAGAATTTAATTAAGTGAATCATTGAAAGTGAAATTAAAAATTAAATGGTTGAATTTTCTAAGTAAATAATTAATAAGAATAAAATTAGAATTTAATTAAAGTGAATCTTCGAAAGTGAAGTTATATAAAAAGTTTGAATTTTCTAAATGAATAATTAGGATAAAATTAGAATTTAATTAAAGTGAATTATTAGAAGTAATTTTTTAAAAAAAGAAATCACACGTATATTAAGTGAACTTACAGTAAAAGTGAAGTTTGTTAAATAGGCTTATATAGTAGATATATTAAAAATTTCTTCATTTATTTTTATTAACTTAAAACAGAGCCAAACTCTGTCGATTCCACATAAATCATCACATTAAATATGGCAAGAAGGCTTGAACATCCTTAAACTAAATATTACCAAAAGCTTTTAGCTTTATAATAAATTATATCTCTGCGATTCACTCCACCAAGGGGGACCCTCCAGAGTATATTAAATTAAAACAAATTAAATAAGAAAAACATATAAAGACATATAACTTCTAAAAATTTAAAGTCCCAAAAATGCCACAGAACAATATAATCCGACCCTCGCTGCTAGCAAATGCTGGTTCACAAGGAGCAGCAGCTCCACCACCTCCTACTGCTTCTACTTCCAATGCGGTAAACGCTACTCCCGAATTCAGGAGTATTATTAAAGATTTAATGACAGAAATACTGACCACTGATGAAAGCAACTTGCTAAGAGGATTACTGCACCCTCCGCCGCAAGTTATGACAGACCAAACCATTGATGACCATTATAGGAACAACTTGACAGACATGGACAAGGTACCGGACGTAGTTAGATCCTTGCGCGAATTTAGTGGCAACCCAGCGGAATACAGCAGCTGGGAAAAAAGTGTCGAACGCATTCTGAAAATCTATGAACCTAGTGCAGGTTCACCTAAATATTTCGGCATTCTAAATGTCATCCGCAATAAAATTGTAGGTAGTGCAGACGCTGCTCTAGAATCCTACAATACGCCCTTGAATAGGAAGGCGATCTCCAAATGCCTTACCATGCACTACGCCGATAAGAGGGACTTGAGCACCCTTGAGTATCAAATGACTTGTTTGATTCAAGCTCGAAAAACTGTGCAGGAGTTCTCTGCGGAAGTTTATTCGCACCTCTCCCTCATATTAAATAAAATTTCATGCATGGACATAAGTGAAGAGGCCATGCGAATCCTTACCCATACATATCGCGACAAAGCACTCGATACTTTCGTTAGGGGATTATCAGGCGATTTATCTAGGCTCCTCGGTATGAAGGAACCTGCCGACCTACCTGAAGCCTTGCATTTATGCATTAAACTGGAGAACCAAAACTTCAGGGCAGTGCACGCAAGCAATCAATGTAGTTTATCTAGAAAACCCAACCTACCCCCCGCACCATTTGGAATGCATTTGCAGCAAAAACCTGCACTTCCTTTAAGAAACCTTTCATACACTAATCAACCCTTAAATCCACAGATTGCACATATACCCCAACCGCTTCCTCCTATCAATCGATTTCCCCAACCACCCCAATATCCACAATTTCAATACCAACAACCTCAATACCAACAACTCCAGTACCAACAGCATCTGTACTTCAACAGGTCAAATATTCAAACTAATAGACCCATTTATAACAATCCACCGCCAAGGCCAACACAGCCAAAACCACCCACACCTATGGAAGTCGACCAATCTCTACAGACAAGGAATGTGAATTATATGAACAGACCGAGTTATAATAACGCCGCGTCAAAGCGTCCACCTCCAGCCCAGACAAATCAATACACTAAAAACATTCCAAATAAGATTCAAAGAATTCACCATATATCACAAACGCCCGACCCTACCGCTACTGAAACAAACCTACATGAAGCTAGCGGAAATGAATATGACACCGACGGGTATGACGCAATCAACAACGACGCCCAAGAAACCCAATCTTGGGACGATACTATCAGGAATATTCTAAGTACGCACATGACGACCAAAAGGACTGCGAAGAATTTTGTGATGTTCATTTTTTAGGCTAACGCACTCTACATTGCCGTATATTCAATGCAAAACCGGTAATGGAGAGGTACATAAATTTCTAATAGATACTGGTTCCAATAAAAACTACATACAACCCTCATTAGCAAAAAGTCCACTACCAAACCAAAATATTTTCTACGCAAACTCAGTCGGAGGAAAAATTAAAATATCCCAGCACATTTTTTTAAATCTTTTCGGCATAAACGACGAAAACCTTAAATTTTTCATTTTACCCTCACTGACATCATTCCAGGGAATCCTCGGCAACGACAGTCTCAAACAGTTAAACGCAGTAATACACACTTCAAAGGATTATATGACGATCAAAAATGGCAAAAAAGTCAAAATCAAACAGCAAGTATCCAAATCTGTCAATAGTTTAGAAATCAAAACAGAGCACATGTCAGAGATGCAGAAAGGAATGCTCCATGACCTCTGTAAACAGCACTGCAAACTTTTTGCGGAACCCGACGAAAAGCTGACCTATACAACTGCAGTAAAAGCAGAAATTAGGACAACAACCGATAAGCCAATCTACTCTCGATGCTATCCATATCCGATGTCCTTAAAATCGGAGGTCGAAAGACAAATTAACAAACTTCTAGAATATGGCATCATAAGACCATCATAAGCTCATCCTATAATTCACCTGTTTGGATAGTAGACAAGAAACCAGATTCTCTAGGCAATAAACAGTATAGACTTGTTATAGATTTTCGGAAGTTGAACTCCGTCACAATCGCAGACCGCTACCCCATTCCCGAAATTAACGAAGTTCTTTCCCACTTCGGAAGCAACAATTTTTTTTCAGTCGTAGATTTAAAAAGTGGTTTCCATCAAATCCCTTTGAAAAGCGCGGACATAGAAACCGCTTTCTCCATTAATAATGGAAAATATGAACTTATAAGATTACCATTCGGCTTAAAGAACGCCCCCTCAATTTTCCAAAGGACATTAGACGACATTTTAGAGATTACATAGGCCAGTGTTGTTACGTTTACATCGACGACATAATTATATTCAGCAAAAGCCAAGAAGATCATTCAACCCATCTAAAAAATATTTTCTGTACACTTGAAAAGGCAAATATGAAAGTACAGCTAGATAAATGCAAGTTCTTCCAAAAAGAAGTAGAATTTCTAGGATTCATAGTAACAGCGGAAGGAATCAAAACAAACCCTTCAAAAATCGATACCATTCAAAATTTTCCAATTCCACGGAATCTCAAAGAACTCAGATCCTTTTTAGGTCTATCAGGTTATTACCGCCGCTTCGTTAAAGACTATGCGAAGCTCGCTAAACCCCTGACAGCCCTTTTAAGAGGGGAGGAAGGACGTGTGTCCAAAACCCATTCAGCAAAAAAACAGATAACACTTGACGAAGAAGCAATCGCAGCGTTGCAAAAAATTAAAAACGTTTTAATTTCAAGAGATGTTATGCTGACCTACCCTAGTTTGAGTAAAGATTTTGAGCTCACAACTGATGCTTCTAATTACGCAATAGGCGCAGTTCTCTCACAAGAAGACCGACCAATCACTTTCATTTCTAGGACTCTTTCGAAAACAGAAGAAAATTACACAGCTAACGAGAAAGAAATGCTCGCCATTATATGGGCATTGAAGTCTCTGTGAAATTACCTCTACGGTTCGGCAAAAGTTAAAATTTATACAGACCATCAGCCCTTAACGTATGCGCTCAGTAACAAAAATAACAACAGTAAAATGAAGCGTTGGAAAGCGATCCTCGAAGAGTATAACTATGAGCTAAAATAAAAACCTGGCAGAACGAACGTGGTAGCAGACGGACTATCCCGACCACCGCAGCAGGAGCAAATTAATTCTTTGACAGCGACTCAGCATAGTGATGAAAGTTCATCTCAAAACCTAATTCCTTACACGGATGCCCCGGTTAATGCATTCAAGAACCAGTTATTCCTCAGGACCGCAGACACTTCATCTTACCAATTTAAAATACCCTTCCCTACTTATCACAGGCATATTATCGAAGAAACTGAGTATACAGAAGAGATATTAATAAACCATCTCAAGCGCTATTTATATCC